GGGGGCGATCAATGAGGGTAGTGGTGTACTTGGGGGAGGGGGAGGTGGTGTACGAAATACTATAATGTAACAAGCGAAGTAGAAGTTGAAGTTACTTGTTTTAATCCATCACAGTGTAAAGTGCTGGAGAGACAATTCAAAGAAAAGTTTGCGATAGGATAAAGCGTCGTGAGAAAACTAGAGGTGTTACACTCCCCTTGTTTTTGAAAACTTGGATACTTACATTAGAGCCATCGCTGTGGACATGAACACGGGAAAAACTTTGGTCAATAATCGATATTTCTTAAAAACATTTTTTTCTCGAACGGTTTTTTGAGAGAGTTATTCCCAATTACTGCTCATTAACATTTAAGTTAACATTGAGATAGCCCTACTACAAATGATTGTGTTTCAAAATCTGTATTTTTTTGTAATGAAATATTTAGCGGTGTGGGCATGTTCGCTTTGTTCGCGTTGAGTAATTAGCTTGAAAGTGTCTATTTATAGATTATATGAATTATAATAAAATCATAATATAGAGATATCGGCACTATTGCCTATGCCAAAATTTCCCACACAGCGATAGGTTTAAAATGTCACTAAGCGTCCACACGAGAAAATGTCCACTAATACATATTTATAGTGAATTCATTAAACAAGTTAAATATTTTCATTGTTCACCCTTTTTTATGTGTGAAATCTTTTCGTCGGTTGGTTGATAAAACTACACTTTAACGGTTTTATGTTTTAACAATTAACTAATGACTTTGATTCGAAAATCCATTTTTCTGAGACCAAAATGTAGAGATAAGCGCAATCTAATAAAGAGCAAGTGATTAATTGACACGTTTTCTGTTTGAGAATACAAATACGTTTTGATCAAAATGCAGCAACGCCATGTACAATTGTACAATAATTATAACACTCCTGGCCTTATTAATGACTATGTTATAGTGTTTCGTGTCCATATTGCTTTAATATGCGTACGTGTATAAAGAAAAGCTAATAATTTCGCAGAGGTTTTGCACTAACGACGGAAGTATTTCCAAACGAGAGGTGGAAATTTCCCCTGACGTTGGTACCTGTCGACGTCACTTAGTACCCAGGCCATTTGTCTGGTACCGTATCCCTATGGCGTGATCTTATGTCTCAGCTTACGTTCCACAGATCATCACGTTCCTCAGTTACAGCTTGTTAGCGTAACCATACTGATCGATAGCAATGTTCTCTCCGATAGCACCTGTAAACTTGTAGCGTTATAAGGAGCTTTGTTGTGTTTGCTCCTGTATTATACACTTTTCAAGTGACCTTAAGCCACATGGATTTTATAATGAAGTGACCGTTAGCCGCGTGAGGTTCAATAACTTTAAATAACCTTTAGCCAAAGTGAGATTTCGACTTTTTTATCAAGTGACCTGTAGCTTCATGGGCTTTTCTTTCAAGCGACCTTAAGCCTTTAGTAGAACTAATGGGATTCTCTCTGGACGAACTAGCCATACAGTCCCTTTTATACAAATTTTAGATATGTGTTTCATTTATACATATTTTAGTGATTTTATTTTTTTAAATCCTCACAAATTCATTGTGACTAGATTTCCTAGATGCAAATTAAGGGACCGCGATGTTCAAGTGGTTAAGGCGTCTGACATTCTGCTACCACTAGCCCTCCACCACCAGGTCGCGGGTTCGGGGCCTACGTGGGGCATTCACTAGGTTCTGGCCGTTGGTCGGTGGTTTTTCTCTGGGAACTCCGGCTTTCCTCCAACACCAAAACCTGGCACGTCCTTAAATGGCCATAGCTGTTAATAGGACGTAAAACACAAACAAACCAAAGCTAGATGCTGCAAAGTCTTATATAAAAGGTTTATATACACTTTTCCTCGATGTAAAACGCTTGATGTTCACTGGAGATCGTAAAATGTTTTTTTCTTTTTTTTTTCATGTTGTACTTTTAGTATATCTCTTGACTTAGAGTCAGAGTCTTAGCACTGTTTTTCTCTATTTGATGCCAGAAGAGTTCATAACCTCGGTTTCTGCTAGGTCGTTAAATCCAAAAATACATACACACACCAGATAAGGAGAGGTAACACACTGTTTCAGTCACCTTAAAATTGATGTCTTCGATATTTTCTAATCTTTCGTACACTAGACGCAAATGGCTGCCAAAGATCGAGAAAGGAAAGGAAAGCTAAATGTCATCCACAATTAGCCATAATTGACATGATGTGATAACCGTTATGTTCTAATATAATTACTTTGAATATTGCTGACAATCTGCACTACAATCCCTTACGGTATCTGTATCATTGTATGTACAACTTTCTGGAAGGCGAATCTCTGATCTCTAACATTACATACGAGAGAAACGTTACTGATACCTAGTGGGGAAGATTCCGTGTCTTCATTCCCTGGAATCTGATTAAAGTATGATGAAAGTTGATAATTTTGTTAGTTGCAGAAACGCACAGCCTGACAACTGACACATAGACTAACATACCGTGACCAGATATATTGTATTTTAACAGAATTTATATTATACACGAGAATGACTACGGTACGGTATACGGTAACATATTATGCTGTCGCCAAGTACTGTTTTGCTGCATGCTCTACATTGTAAATGATCCATACATTTCAGGATATTTTCATAACGTTGTACAATATTTCTAAATTCAATTTTTAACATGAAAGATAATGAAATAATATATGTTCTGCAAAAAATACCAGAACTGCATTTACTAATCTGTTTCATTTTCTACTTTATTTTTAAACCTTCAATTTTGTTTCTTAAGACAGTCCAATGTATATTGATGACTGAGGGCTACGTTGGACAAGTGGTTTAGGCGCCTGACCGTCTAGGATCATTAGCCCTGCACCACTTGGTTACGGGCTCGAGGCCTACGTTTGACAGTCGGCAGATACTGGCCGCAAGTCGGTGGGTTTTCCCTGAGAGCTTCGGTTTTCCACAATGCAAACATTGTTCGTCTTCAAATGACCATAGCTGTTACGAAAAAAAACAAAAACCCTGACAACCTGAACATTATCTGGTTGATCATAAGAGGATATTAAGTTGGGACCCCTTACAAATTGATTTTCTGATCTGGTACACTGATCTAGACGATCAATATTGTCATGTAGCCCCTTTTTCAACTTGGTATGCTCTAAGCTGCCCGTCAGTTAGTCAGTCGATTTGTCTTCTTTTCGCTTTTCTGCAACTATAGATAGACGTATTTTGGTAAAACTGTATATTAATATAGTTAGAATTTCACACGAACTTTGTACATATTTATTATATCTGATACATCACTTTCTTACTTTTAAAGCTGTATTCTCCAAACATACTATACTTATGTACAGAGTATAACATTTAAGACTAAGTGCTACAAAACTGCAATTGTGTGTAACGCTCAGATGATTACAAAAGTATTGGTCTTCAGTATACCTGTCCCACTGCACTGTAGATTTTTGTAAATACTGCAGCTTCCCGTTGCAACCCTTTGGGACACACACAACAGATATATGCAAAATTGAATTAAGGGATGGGCTATGGAGGGGAAGGACGAGAGAAGGAGAGTATTGTATGCATATGAGGCTAGTTTGCAATATCATCCGCATACAAAAGCATAGAAATCATACAGGTGTCATCAATTTTAATACCGCAATTCAAATCATTAATTTCCTTTACTAAATCATTTATATACATGGAAAAAAATGTTGGCGAGGCGTTACAGCCTTGTTTTACGCCATTATGCACTGTAATCGGTGGGGTTAAAAGTTTGTTGACTCTGACACTACATTCATAGTTAAAATATAAAGATTTTATTGCATTTAAAAAATAACCATTTATGCCAAAATATTCTAGTTTACACCATAAACGATCTCTGTTTACACTGTCGAACGCTTTCTTCATATCAACAAAACATACCAAAGTAGATTGTTTCTTGCTTTTCCTATTATTAAGTATAGAGTACAATATATACTGGTGGTCTAGACAGCTTCTATTCTTTCTAAAACCATTCTGTTCATCAGCAAGTATATCATTAGTTTCTAACCATTTAGATAAGCGATGATTTAAAATATCAGCATATATTTTACACGGAACAGATATAAGTGCGATGCCTCTATAACTAAGAGGGTCTAATGGGTCTTTTCCCGCCTTCAAAATGGGATTAATAATGCTATGACACCATTTGTCAGGAATTTTGCCATAATTGAAACAATTAACAATAATGGTATGTAATAGGTCTATACATGTAATGTCCGGGGATCGGATCCGGTCTGGCCAAGTTAATTTTTAATTAATTACACTATTGATGAATATGTTTTGTTTGTTAAATTTTCAACATTATTTCATGTAAGTCTCGCAAGATACATGTATGGGTTTCTTGTCAGAAAAAAATTATCAAAGCTACAGTCATGTCGGAAAAAAAACAGTTTTCCGAAACAGAAATACAGTTTTGGGAAGTGGTACGGGGATCCTTAATTCAACATAATGGACACTGTCCGTCAGCATGGACTGATTTATACACATTTTATATGGTTTCTATCATTTCCTGGAAGTATAAGCCCAATAACATGTTAAATTACTGACCAGCTATATCAGTATGTCACCGTAAACCAAAAGGATCAGTAGTTTTTATTGGAATG